AATGCTGCAGCATTGTTCAGCACATAGTATCCAAGGAAACCGCAAATAATCAATGCATGTTGAACTAGTGAATTCACTTAAGTAACTCCACAAACATAACTATCTTTTGGAATGTTAGATGTACATTTTTCATTCGAATATCGATTTGAGAGCTCAAAAGAATGGATGACACATCTGTTCTTAAATTACCTTTGACTTCATTCAATTCTCCTGTGTTTTACACCACACTAATTCATAAAAGTGTTGTGAAATACATATGAACTTGATTCATTCTGCCTATGTAACTGTAACCACCCAATTGTATTTTGAGTGATGTTATCCTTTTGTATTACACAATGGCAAAGTATCTTCTTTTTATACGGGTATGTGTTAATATTGGAACAAATAGTGCTCTACATATCTCAATACTCAAGATGCTTGGGCACAGCTAACATTGATTACAATATACAAGTTTTGTCTGGAGTTCTAGATGCTGCAACATTTTTTCTAACATTCTTCATGCATATTTTGTAACATTAAGAACTTCTCAAATCAAGTTTGGACTACTTACTTGCAAAGAAATACCCACAACATGAAATTCACACGATAAATCTGTCAACAGCATATACTCTCATCTTCACACAGCGGTGAGATAGGATACCAGGTTAATTTACTTACATCTGTCAAAAGTGAACATTCAATAGTATATATCTTGATCACATAGTAAGCATCACTTTGACAAGTACTGTATCAGGCACAAATGAGATTATTGTCCACTCCTGTAATTTAGGCTACATCTTAAAGAGATAAATTGTGCCCCAAGGGCAGTTGCAGTGGTATTATGAACCAGAACTCAAATGCACTGTACCATGAAACGTGGGATTTTAAATAATAATAATAATAATCCTTGCATTTGATATAGCGCTTTTCACGTCGGGAGGACGTCCCAAAGCGCTTCACAGAACACTCTGTAAAGTGAATTGACTGTATATTTGTGGGCGAACGCGGCAGCCAATTGCGCACAGCAATGTCCCACAAACAGTCGTAGATTGAAAATGACCGATTTATTATTGTTTTTGGTTTTTGGAGGGATTATTATTAGGCTCTGTCTCTCATCCTCACCTACAAGGCTATTCACGGACTTGCTCCCTCCTACCTCTCTGACCTACTATCCACCTACCTGCCCATACCCTCCGTTCCTCTGGCTCCGGTCTGCTCCACATCCCCCGCCCCAACCGCCCTACCATCGATGGCCTCAATTAAACCCTCAATTCCCCACAAAATGAGTTTCCAAGCTCAGCTATCAAGTAAAAGGTAGAGAGAGAGGGAGAGGGAGCACCTTGTGATTGGCATCTTGTAGTAAGCTGAAGAACACTGGAGAATGCTTTGGTATGAGTTATCTGCCCAGCCTGCCACTGGGAAAATAGTGTGGAATAGTGAAACCTAAAGAAGGAAAAATGTCCATGTAGATATATATATATATATATGTATTAAAAATGCTCAGAGATTTACAAATAGCAATCCTGTACTATCTCTTGCAAGAATCCAAAAGAGTAATCTTCACAGGACCACCTTCACATCTGTTTCAATCTTGGTACACTTTTATGTGGTAAAATGTGGCATTCTAAACCTTGATATTTCCATTAGCCACATGAAAATGTATGGCATAAATGTCAGAATCTTACAAAACTGCTACTGAGTACTGAAATTGTTGAACACACATAAATGAACTCAAATCTGTCTCTTTGCATACAACACTAACTGGTGATATTTAATCAAAGCAAAAAAATACACTTCTTTCAAATATTCTGCTTCACCTTTGATTCCCTCTGCAAGTCATTCCCCACCAAGCTGTTAGGATGGTGCATGTGGCCATCCTCTATATAGCCAGAGCTAATGTTAGATTATAATGCTGGGAAGACTAGTGAGCTGGATAGCATGAGCAAGCTTTCCATCAGAGATGGATTATTTCAATCTGTATTTACTGTTGCTTTAATGAATAGGCTGAGAACCGTATAACTCACGCAATGGAAGTTGAAAGGTTTGATTGCTGTGCAACCATGCACTGAAAAGCAACGTTTTCTCAAACGAAAATTCCCGGTTCTCTTATGAAACAGGCCTCTTTACATGTAATATATCACACCTCACGTAAGCTCTATGTTATACCTCTCTTTCATGGAACAATTTTGGAGTGAATGGGGACTAGTATGGTCATTTCCTAACATCCAACCATTTGAAGAGCTGGAAAGCCTGTAACCAATGTCATAGTTTCCTCCAAAAAACAGAGTCATTCTAGCTTGTCTTGGAGGCAGAGCCAAGACTCCTCCGCAATTCCCAAGTTAGAGAAGCTATCAGTGTTGGCAACGTCCCTGTGCTGTGGTGAAATGCAACTGCTCCCTCAACAAATATGTGGATAAATAATCTTTGTGATATTTTCTGGTGTTGTATGCAACCTAATTGACCTGATGAAATACCAAGCTATCTGGATGTATCAGGCTTGGAGGCCTGAATGGTGCATCACTGGCAATGCTCAATGATCCCCATATAAGGACTACTCGGCACATTCTGAGCAGCAGAAGAGAACAGAACCCATCTTTAATGCCTATTATACACTTACTCACCAACCTTACTTAGGGAACCTTTAGTAAGAGACATTGGGCAGGGAGTAGCTGGCCAGTTGGTCACTGACACAAGACCAACTGGAAGGAACAATCCTTCTCCTATGAGTTATCTGGGTCCTTCCAGCTGAGTCTGGTTTAGAGAGTTGGGTGAGGCACATAGCCACATTTAGTGAATAATAATAAATAATCCTTACTTTTGATATAGGGCCTTTCATGTCAGGAGGACATATAAGTGCTTCAGAGGATATGCTGTAAAATGTAATGATTTCTACCCAGTGCTCTGAATGTTAAAGTGAAGAAATTCAATGAAGTGCGGGTAACTAGTGGGAGTATTTTTGTAGGCGAACGCAGAAGCCAATTTGCAATTATTTGAATAAACCTTCAACAACAATGTATACCCTCTCAAAGATGCGACTACAATATAACTGCACATAAACGTATTCAAACATTTGTGCAAAATAATTAGCATTTTGTTCCAAAGAATTATTTGTTACGAAAGCAATGTTTCCTCGTCTAAACATCATCTTTCTCACAGTACAGACAATGCCCGCAATTCTTAAGAGACGCATTCCTTGGAGAGCTGGAATGTTTGAATAATTTAGTCATCTTTCTGTGCCACTTAATATACAAATTTCCTACATTTAATCAGCTGGGTCTGATCTACAGCTGGACAAACCCAAGCCTGCATCTGGCCAAACTGCTCAAATGTAAAACATTTGGCAAGGAATAGTGAAACTGGGTGCATTCTGTTTAAGAAAGCAACATATCTTTTTTGCTCATTCTTCGAAAATGAACATGCCTGCATTTTTTTTAAAAAAACCTGCACTGTTACTGCCATTGAGAGGCAAACATTCTGTGTCGCAACCGATACCAACTGCACTTGATACCTGATAATAAGTTTAAATAAGAGCCAAATCCAGTTGAAATAGGAGCCAAATCCAGAAGCATAACAGAGACAGTATTATTACTCAGAGCTTTTAAATCAGGGTGGGGTTTGTTCCACAGCACTGACAATACCACTTTGCTCACTTGCATAGGCGGCTTACACCCTGATTGTAATAACCCATTTGCAAAGAGGTTGCATCAGATGCAAATTATTTTGAATGACAAAACACATTCGTTGACCACACCTGCAAATGTGCCCTGTAAAAGAAATCCACGGGACCGTCCATTATTTGTCCATCTCACAAGAATAATGCACAGTCCAAGTGAGCTGCGCGGGGGCCAATGGTTCAAAAAACAGGTCTCAAATGAGGCAGCCGGACGATTTGGGTTGGATTTATTTTTTTACGCACACGGACTGCTCTTTGGAAAGAAAGAGGGTCAAAAGTGGCAGCAAAAAAAGAGCATGTGCACTCTTGTGGGTGCGTGTGGGGGTGTGTGTGTGTGTGGGGGGGGGTGTGGGGGGATGGGTGTGTGGGGGGGATGGGTGTGGGTGTGTGGGGGGGGTGGGTGGGGGTGGGGTGGGTGTGTGAGTGTGGGTGGGTGTGGGGGTGGGAAGGGGGTGTGTGGGTATGTGGGGGGGTGGGGGTGTGTGTGTGTGGGGGGGGGTGGGGTGTGTGTGTGGGGGGGGGTGGGGTGTGTGTGTGGGGAGGGGGTGTGTGAGTGTGTGAAAAAAATTAAGGGACGGTCCCTAATGGGGGAAAAAAAAACGCTTCCACCTGAGGTTTCACACCCTCGTCTTTTCACAGCTGATGAATCCTGTGCATCGCGAAAAAAGGGGAGTGGGGGGGGGGGGGAGAGGGGAGAGGGAAGGGAAGGAGCGGCGTGAGGTGAGAGCGCACCGTTGGCTGACAATAAATCTCGAGGGGTGGGTGAGGGGGGGGGGGGAATCTGTCAGCCCTTCTCACAGCGTATTTTTCTCTCTTTTTTTTTGGGTGGGGGGGGGGGCGTCGATTTTTTTTTGAAATGTTGGTGCCCTTTTTTGTTGTGGTTGCGGGGGGGGGTGGTGGAGGAGGGGGTGGGGGTGGAGGAGGACGGGGTGGGGGAGGGGTGGGGTGGAGGAGGAGGGGGTGGAGGGGGTGGGGTGGAGGGGGGGGAAGGGGGTGGTGGTGGGGGTGGTGGAGGGGGGTGGGGGTGGAGGGGGGGGAAGGGGTGGTGGTGGGGGTGGAGGAGGAGGGGGTGGAGGAGGAGGGGGTGGGGGAGGAGGGTGTGGGAAGGAGGGGGTGGAGGGGTGGTGGTGGAGGGGGGGGTGGTGAAGGGGGTGGTGGGGGTGGAGGAGGGGGGGGTGGAGGAGGGGGGGGAGGGGTTGGGGTGGAGGAGGAGGGGGTGGTGGGGGTGGAGGAGGAGGGGGTGGAGGGGGGGTGGGGGTGGAGGAGGAGGGGGTGGTGGGGGGGGTGGGGGGGGGGAGGGGTGGAGGGAGTGGGGGTGGGGGAGGGGGTGGTGGTGGGTGGACTTTACCTCTTTGCGCCGACTGGGCGCTCCGGGGCGGGTGAGCAGAGCCGTGTCGCCGCAGACCACCGCGGTGTCCTCCACGAACACGCAGTCCGGCAGCGTCTCCTCCGCCGGCAGCTGCACCACCTGCAGACCCAGCCTCTGGCGCAGGACCCCCACGTACATCTCGTGCTGCCGGTGGGCTTTGGCCAGGTCCACCTCCAGCTCCGGGTCCGACTCCGGCTCCGGCTCCGGCCGGGACCGCCTGAGCGCCCGCTTGACCAGGGAGTCGGGAATGCCGCGCACGATGGCGTGGGTGCATGTGCCGAAGTCTGACAGCCAACTCGCCATCTTCACCCGCAGACCTCTCTCTCTCTTCTCTCTCTCTCTTCTCTCTCTCTCTCTCTCTCTTCTCTCTCTCCTGCAACGCAGACGGTCGCGGCGTGACAGAGGCTGATCCCCCCCCCACCACCACACACACACACACACACACACCCTCCCCACACACTCACCCACTCACACACCCACAGCTGATGGTGTGGGGCGCAGCGCACGCACGGGAACAGATGGGGGTGGGGGGTGGGTGTGTGTGGGAAGGAAGAGCGGGGCGCGTGCACCCTCCCTCCCTCCCCCCCCCCCCCCCCCCCGAGGCGCGTGCCCGACTGCTGCCGCGCTTTGGCGGGGTGTCCGCGCGTGTTCGCGTGCGCGTAAAATAAAACAAGCCGTGGCTCCCCGGGAGCGCGCTCCCGAGTTCGTGCGCCGCTTCCCCCCCTCTCTCCCCCCCCCACACACACACACACACACAACGGGTTGGAGTCTTTTAAGGCATTGCATCCAAAGACCCATCGGCATCCCACACACACACACCCCCACACACACCCCCCCACCCCCCCCACAACCCCCACCCCCCCCACACACACACCTCCTCCATCTGCATTCCCCCACACCCCACACAGCCCCCCCACCCCCCCAACACACACACACCTCCTCCATCTGCATCCCCCCACCCCGCACACAGCCCCCCCAACACACACACACCACCCTCCCAACACCCCCCCACACACACCCCCACCCCCCCCACACACCCCCACCCCCCCACACACCTCCTCCATCTGCATCCCCCCACCCCCCACACAGCCCCCCCCACCCCCCCAACACACACACACCTCCTCCATCTGCATCCCCCCACCCCCCACACAGCCCCCCCACCCCCCCAACACACACACACACCCCACCCTCCCAACACCCCCCCCCACACCCCCCAACACACACACCCCACCCTCCCAACACACCCCCAACACACACACACACACCTCCTCCCCACCTTTAAAATATTCCTTGCACAGCATCTGATCCCTGCAATGTATCCCCCCCCCCCCACCCACCCCACTGACCCCGATTACAAACATCTATGTGTATAGGTTGTTTTCATCTCACACGAACCCATCCCCTAAAGCTTAAAACATTTCCCCGTCAACGTGAAAAGACAAGAGAGAAAATGAATTCCACGCGAGAAAAAAAAATCCATCAAAAACAAACCTTTTCTGCTTACACGGCGTGGAATTTGGTATTATGTCGAGGAAAGTACAAGGTTTACACAAACAAACCGAGCGGTTATGTAAACTGCCCCACAAGGTCTAGTTTGAGCTGTAAATGTGTTTCCACCAGTTCTCTGGGTTTGTTTTTTTTAAAAAACATTCTTTGAATCGAGAACTAATGTTTAACTTTCGACAGTTTCGGAAAAAAAAAAGATGCATTTATTTTTGCACGTTCCAAGTTGCTCGAAAACCCTGCGAGCGGATTGCATTGGTGCAGAGCACGTTGTTACAGAAATGTCAGTATGGCAGTATTTTTCATGTCCAAAGCTTCTTTTACATCTAAAGATTAGGCTGAGATGAGCTCATGCAGATATCAGGCAACATTTCAGAAACCTCTGTTAAACAACAATAAGCATTTGCCAGGACAAGCAGCAGCAAAAATAAAGAAGAGCGGAAATTTCTTGGAAAAAGATATGCTCATTTGGTATTTCCTGTGTACCCTATTACGACAGAACGTTTAAAGGGAAAACTCAAAAGATGTCACTATCTTTTTTTTAAAATAAAAAAAATTCGTACACGAGTGACTGACCCTCCGGCAAAAGCACAGCAGCCGCCAAATGTCCCCACCGGATGAATACGTGCGGCTCCAGATGTTTCAACAAGTGGCCTCGTTACATTTGTTTACATTTAACTTAGGTATCAATGTGGTTTTACGAAAAGAAACTCCCAACGTTTATTTATACTACTCCTGAAACTGCCCGTTGCACTTCAAACGGTGCACTTCAACATTACAAGACCTGGATGGTTTTGAGATTTCACAAGCCTCGGAAATAGAGGATGTTGCGTGTTTTTTTGTCCCCCCCAAAAAAAAAAATGAAAAACAGGTAAACACTCACATTCCTCGGAATCACCTGGACTACCAGATTTTTATTTTGCCTGAAGTGGAGCCCGTTTTCCAACTCTCTGAGCTCTCCTTGTCTGGATGTTGTGATCAGGAAGGCAATTTGCCAGTCTTAAGTGAAAACTGACTTCATGCAAGTCAGGCCAATAATTAAACGGCAGATACACACTCTCAGCCCCTGAATGCTCAGTCGGGGGCCTCTCAAATTCTCAGGCTCATCTTTCATTTTCATCAACCTTTAATGGATTACGTCTTTGGGTTAAAAATGTTCATGACGCCCCCCCCCCCCCTGTGCGGGGCTACTCATTCTCTCCTCTGGAGACTTGCCAACAATCTGGAAGCTTTAACCACAGTGCAGAAGTCTTTCAGCAGAATATTGGTAAAGAAAATCTTCCAGAATACATTTGAGTGGCTAGAAATGTACATTACCATCGAGCACCAGCTCTCAACTGTGCACCGCGCACAGCCACTGACAACATCCAAAGCCACTCATTAATACAAGTGTGTTCGTGCCCTGCGCTGTGCTGTGTCATATTTTATCCCCAGATAGGTCACTCCTCAGAAATAAATGCTTGACTTAATGTTGTGTAATCGTGTTAAAATGTCCCCTCTATAATGTCACTTTGTATTTTAGGTGCTACCGTAACAGAACTTCAGTCGATTTCCTGACAAAGCATTAACCTCTGTACAAAGTAACTTGTACCCACTCGGGGAAGTACAGTGATATATCTCACATTTGCTGTGTGAGTGAACCCCCCCATAAATTAACAATGCAAAATAAATTTCTGGCTTCAGATCTATCTACATATACATCATATATCTCGAGGAAATGGGGGGGGGGGGGGGGAGTTTTAAGATGTCATCGACACGTTATGCTCGAAAAGTTGGGAAAAATGTTAAAAACGCGAGGACTTCTGTACTACCAAATATGGAAATATTGTTACGTCGCGCTCTATAATTCTTCATCTGGAAACACTTAGGGAGGGATGAGAAAAGGGAAAAAGGCAGCCAAAAATAGAAGCCCCATAAACTTTCCTCCCTCCCTCCCTCCCTCCCCCCCGACACTTTGATTACACTTTGTACCGAAAAAGCAAAACAAACAAATTCATTTGCAAAGCTTAACGACGCTGAGTTGAGCTGCGATTTACACTCAGAATGCACCGAGATGACGTGCTTTGTTTTAAATGGATGATTTGAAGGGAAAAGCAACAAGAATGGGGGGAATTTTTTCTCTCTCTCTTCTCTCTCTCTCCCTCCCTCTCTCTCTCTCTCTCTCTCTTGGCTGGGCGGCGTCTGAGAAAAAAAAAAACGCGCCAGAAACATTCCAGAGATTGTTTCTGAAATCAAACAGCTCTGAAACTCAGACACTCAGGAACGTCACCAACCTATAAAAGGAAGGGCAGCAGCAAAAGTCTGCACAAAGCAATCGGGCACAGCTCACAGACACACAGAGAGAGAGAGAGAGAGAGAAAGCAAAGCAAAAGCAAAGCCAAAGCAACAAGCAACACGCCGGCACAGACAGCAAAAAAAAAAGAGCCACCGACAGCTCCCAGCAGTCAGCTTTGGAGCGAGAAACGGACGAGAAGTTGCCAAACCCATTGACTGTGGAGTGACACTGACTCGAGCCTCGCGTGTGTTACTCCAGATCAGCCCCGACAAGTCCGGCGCAGGTCTTCGGTTCCAAATCCTTCCCCCGATTTGATAACTCACCGACTTTCGGGATGCACTGCGTTGTGGTGGTGGTCGCTGCCCTCCTTATCTGCGGGTGCCTCGCTAAGGTGAGTGTCCAGAAGGTTTTAACGGGTTTCGTCTTAAAAGGGGTTTTATGATCTCCCCCCATCACCCACCCCAATCCAAACCCACCCCCCAAAAAAAAAATCTTTGAGCAAATGGGTTGATTTCACGTTTTAATGCTTGCGTTTGTTTGCAAGAGGAGCTCATTGTATTTTATTGACTGCTGTTGATTCCAGGCGATGTCCACCTGCCCGTCGGAATGTGAGTGCCCACAGGAGTTCCCCAGGTGCTCACCCGGCGTCAGTCTGGTTCTGGATGGCTGCGGATGCTGCAAAGTCTGCGCTAAACAGCTCAACGAAGACTGCAGTAAAACGCAGCCGTGCGATCACACCAAGGGTCTCGAATGCAACTTCGGCGCCAGCCCCAGTGCTCTTCAGGGGATCTGCAGAGGTAAGATTCTTGGCGAGGCTTCATTAAACACCGAACGTCTCCCTCCAGCTTAGTCTAGTCGAAAGGTTTCTGTAATCTTTAGACCATGTATGGTTATGCTTTATTGTTCCTTGGCCATCAATTGGCAGTAAAAGCATGTGATTTCAACAGTCTGGAATGTAATTCACTGTGTCTCGACTAAACTAAAGACGCATAAGGAAAAGTGATTCCTGAGTAACTCATTGTTCAGCACCACGTTCCTCTTGGGATTTGGTCTTGGAATTTCCTCAGTAAAATATGAGCAGCAGACCAGAACCTGTGTAAGTACTAGTCGAGACTTATTTCTAAAACTGTTCCTATTTTCTGCGTTTTTTTTTCACACAGCAAGAGCCGAAGGAAGGCCATGTGAATACAACAGCAAGATTTATCAAAATGGGGAGATTTTTCAGCCAAACTGCAAACATCAGTGCACTTGCATCGATGGAGCTGTGGGCTGTATCCCCCTTTGTCCTCAAGAGCTATCTCTGCCTAACCTGGGCTGCCCGAACCCACGACTCATCAAAGTGCTTGGGAAATGCTGCGAGGAATGGGTTTGCGATGGAAGCAAAGCCACGGCAGATTCAAGGGAAGCAGAACACATCTTCAGCCAAGAAACCATTGTGAACCCATCGCCAAACGAACCAGTCTCCAACAACGAACTGCTCTCGCTACTGAAAGGAACGTTTAAAGGGTTGGCTGGTAAGTTTATCGATTTTTTTTACACACACACACACACACACACACACGTGCCTGTCCCGAGTTCTCCTCGATTTGAACACGTTTAGATTGAAGACTGCACAAGATGTCCATTCACCTTGTTGGTGCAATAGCCAGTCCTCTCGCTAGAGTGCGCACTGATGGAGATAGACAACGAACTTCTGTAAACAACCCACTTTGGCCATCATTAACAACGAAGCAGCTCACACTGCATTCAGGAAAATCCCTCGACTGTTAAATTTCCAGTGTATCTTGGGAGTGCTGACTTAGCGCTAGAAATGACATCAGCAGACATTGTTTTCCTTTTTTATTGATTGAAATGAAACTTGCAGCTTTCGAATCGGTTCAACATCGCTTTTAAAGATTTGCTCACTTTTAAAACCCGACTCCCTGAAGCAGGCAAAATACCAGACAGTGACCGACTTGCTGTGATTGTAAAAACTAGATGGTCAGGTACTGAAAAAAAACTTGTCGCAAAAATATTTCTGTTCATGTGCTATTGGTGTGTTGTATTTTTCAGCTTGGAGACCCAAATGTCTAGTTCAGACAACTGATTGGTCCCAATGTTCCAAGACATGTGGAATGGGAATCTCTTCAAGAGTCACCAATGACAACCCTGAATGTAAACTTGGAAAAGAGACGAGAATCTGTGACATCCGACCTTGTAACCAGCCAACCTATACGAATATAAAAGTAAGTACTAATATAAGAGTGAAACACTTTTATGTGTTTGTCTAATGATTCAACTTTCACGGGGCACAGGAGGTTATCTGTTCACAACAGGTGCTCATATTCATTTGCCTTTTTTATTCCAGAAAGGAAAAAAATGCTACAGAACGAGAAAGACAAGCACGGCAGTACACTTTACCTACGCAGGTTGTTCCAGCGTGAAGAAGTATCGTTCCAAGTACTGCGGTTCCTGCATTGATGGACGTTGCTGCACTCCTCAACAAAGCAGAACTGTCCGGGTTCGCTTCCGTTGTGATGATGGAGAGACCTTCATCAAGAACATGATGATGATTCAGTCCTGTAGATGCCATTACAACTGCCCTGACCACAATGATGCCTCCAATCCTTATGTCATTCTTCATAACGACATTCACAAGTTTCTTGATTGACATTTTTGGGAGAGAAGAGCCAATTTGGCAAGATGAGTAGAAAGGGACTTGAGCAAAGGGGCATCAATGAAGCCCCATGGGGAGCACTTATTCTTCTCTTAAGAGAGACTGATACTTGGACTGGTTATTCAAATAACTAGCACAGATCCTAACTACATGACAACGTTTTGCACTTGTTCCAGCTTTTCTCAAAATGTTCCCAGCATTTCTGACATTTGATCAAACCGTATCAGTTACACAGTAACATTAGGATCAATCAATGTTTTGAGAAGATTGGAATTTTTGAAGGGCTGTTGTGTAGATTCTGTTTTACATCGTGCGTAGAACAAAAGGGACTGGTTCAGTACTGTAATTATACTGTAGCTATGCTATGTGCACTGTGCAGCATCGCCCATGTGGCGGCTGAGGCTGTGAGGATGAACCCATGAGGATGAACCCTTACGGTTAATTGAAAGCTTCATTTTATTGGAGCGAGGAAATGAGCTTCATTTTGGAGCATATATTTTCCGAAATACTTTTGTTCTATTTGTGACAGCTATGTATATTTGTATTATATAATGTTTTAGCATTTGTTGTATCGTAGCAGTCAATGTATTGCTTATTAAGTGCTTGTGTAATAACATGTTCAGAAGTCGTTGGTAAGGTGCGCTATGGAGAATGTTTTGGTTTGTTTATACAACCGACACTCATGGTCACATTTATCGCCTGAGGTGAGCTATTTAGCTCACATTACATGGCAGCTAATAACCAACTCTGTTAAAGCTATAGCTGTCTATAATGCATAGCACAGCAAAAAGAACCAGTTATGTTAAATCCTGCAATGTATCTGTGGAATGTTGCAGTATTTATCAAAAAAAANTTGTCATATACTGGAATGAAATGTACATAGTTCTAATTTTTTTAAAGAGAAAAATAAACTGAATTTATTTATGGAATCTGGTTTCTTGGATACTTGATCTCTGGACTAAATTTCTTTGGTAATACAGCCAACAGTAACATATTAAGATCAAAAATGCATTCAAACTGAATGAAATATTGAAGTATTGATCAGTGTAAAATATTAAAACTTTTTTAAAAAGTTCATTCTTTAGAAACACTTTCATGCCCATACTGAAAATAATGAACTGTAGCAGACTTAATATACATCACCTTTCAATGACCTCTCCTGAACACTTAAGTACACTTTTTAACTGTCAATCATTTTCATTTCAGTACTTGTTATTAAATAGCATCAGAACGATTGTATATATGAGATTCAATACGTGAAAAAAGCGATTCGATAAATAGATCAGGAAAACTCCTTCAGTCTGGCAGTCAATCTCTCAGATCACAGCCAAAATGTGGGAGAGCCAAAGCTTTTGTTGCAGTGTTCAAAATACCCCCTCTAAATTTCATAAGTTTGTGAAAGACTTATATATAGCAATCCTTATTGTGTGACAACAAAGCACAATATATTGAAGTGGAAGGCTTTATGTGATGTCAACTACTTTCTACAATCAAACTGGTAGTGGGGCTGAAAGGAATTTTCTGAAAAGAATTCCTCCAAGTCCCTAGGAGGTAGTTTACTTTCAGCAATTGAGTACAAGCAATTACTTTTCCTTAATCCCAATAACCCACCGATTAAACCTTAAGTGAAGAGGAATGTGTGGAATCTCAAGGACTTCTCTGATGGGACCGAAGGCTGTGCAAAATGTTACCTTCAGAATCAAAGCCAATTTTTTTCTTATGTTTGGAAATCATGTGAGTAGAGTCGAACACCTCCCAAAAAGGCGATGGGCAGTATTACTTACATACAGTAGTGACCAAATTTCTTCTTAAGAGATCAGTGAGATAAATGAGTTAGACTGAATAGATCTGTGAAACCAAGGGAAAAGTAGCAAAGTGGAGGTACAATTAAACACCCAGTCATGGAGTTGAATTGAAAGCATAGACATTGCTTATAATCTAACTTCACGATCATTAAAAGTCTAATGCATGAAAATGCAATTGCACCCAGTTGTCAGAGAACAATCCCAGTTCAGCTTGCAAAGAAACGTCGTTAACTTTGGAAAATAAATAACACTATCAGAAGTTTTCTAGTTACACAAAGCTTTATATTTGTGTCCTGCTTAGGAATGAACTCTTATTGAATAAGAGTACAAAATTGGTTGTTATTCAGTGGTCTAAATCTTCGCTTCACGTTTTCATCCATTTGATCGTATTGACACCTCTGCACCACAGGCATTGAGAAGCATGAGCTATAAATAGATCTGGTGTGTCAGCTGCACTGCACTTGAGTTTCAAAATTGACAAAAGCATTGTTTCTCATGCATGACCATCTATTAATACGTTCAACACTAAGCAGTGATTTGTTGCTTAGTTCTTTTTTCCAGGGAAGGAATCTTTTATTCCATTACGCTTCTGGAGGCAGGTATGGAATCGCAGTGGAATGCAGTAGTGGCTCAGAAAGCAGACAACCTGATGGGCAGCAGATGTTTTGAAAATAACGAGGGAACTAAGCCAGTGATGTTCACTTCAAATAGCAACGTTTAGCTAAAAATACTTTTGTCTAAATACCTTTAATTCCCATGGAGATATATCTGAAGAGATTCAATCCCGGCAGACTGGTCCTTGAGCCTTTAGTCTGCAGGTGATTGGAGTGGGTTAGATAATAGATTTTATTGGCATGACTAAAACTACATTTAAGTTCCCAATAAAGCTGGTTTGACTATTACAAAGCCTATTCACCATCTTCAGCTAGCGTTTATTCTACGCATGTTTACGGCTTTTTCCAATAAACTGTGTTTAGAAGATTCATGCTATGTGCTTTGAGATAAATTGTGTTAAAAATAAAATCTAATGATCTGCTATTGCAGAATTTACTGTGAATGAATGAATATGCGCAACTTCCTTTTAATCGCACAAAGCACTAGATAAGCTCATACAATACTTTGCGCTTCATGAAACACCGAAGTATATTATGTGAATGATTCACAACGATAACTTTAAAGGTTCAGAGACCATTTTCATTCCTGAAATATCGAAAGGGCAACAGAAGTGCAGTTCCTGCAGCAAATGGAGACATCAACAAAAATAACTAGACTGGTGTAATCTTTCAGCACTATTTTGAAACCCCAAACACGCACGCACAAATAAAATGAGTTGGGAACCAGTCAACACGGCACACCAACACGATTTAAAAATTGTTATCAACCTGGCAGTCTTATGCACACAGTACAGTTAACCTTCTATTGAGCAAAAATTGAATAATTTTGAGTTAACTAGTAAATAACTTTCAATTTCAATCTCAGCAATGTGGAAATATGAAGCAGCTTGATACCTTTATTTATGTGATGTTAAGGATAACCGCACTGCTATCGACATTTAAGCCAAGCACTCCTTTTGAACTTTGCAATTCATCAATTCTTATAACAGTCAACAACAACATTGCTGAGCACATTTCCAGCTGGGAAAAATATATTTTTGCTTTCCGTTAAAGCCCTCCAGAGCAATATGAACCAATCTGTCTTTTATCCTGTTTAGCGAAAGGCCACAAATTCAAAATAGACCATAAAGTAATATAATCCATGGTCAAATGTAATATTAGGAAAAGCAAAATTAATGGATTAGAGTCCCATTATGTTCCGTCTCTCCATTAAAGTCCTGCTTCTTTCATTCTCATCCTGAACTTCACTGGAGTAAACTGTCTGGAACTAAGCCTTTCAACCAGGATATAGCTCCACCCTATAGCAATTGCAGAAGCCTTGTAAACCTATTTTGCAAACAAGGTACAATTTAGTCACATAAATATTCAAGCTAACACGCAACTTAATTCAGTCTTGTGATATGGGAAATAAATCATGTGATGTAGAAAAAAATACACCTTAAGTCATCAGAACCTTCAATATTTCAAAGCCCATTGTACAGGTTCCACACATTTGAGCTTATCTGGCAGAGTTGTTCTACGTTTTTCACTTGGACAAATATCCAACAACTTGCATTTACAGAATAGTTTTTATGTAAAATAATGTCTCAAAGTACCTGATATGTAGTGTAATGGTAGACACTAAACAGGGAAACTAAAAATGTTTATTTAAGATGTTGACAAAAGGCATGGTTATGTTTTCAGGAAGGTTTAAAACAGGAAGAAAAGATAGCAAGGTAGAGACACATATCTGAAGACCATTGATGGGGTGAAGGGAATTTGTGTCATCATCTTTGACTCTGATCCTGCCCAGGTGTAAACCTACCCAACAGTACAGTTTACTGAGTACTTTTTATTTCCCCAACATGTCTCATAAATGGCAATTAATTGAGAGTATAGGTGCATTTTATAGTTAGAATCTATTTCTTATTGTTTAGCCAGTTTTCAATCCATTCGTCAACTTCCTATTTATTTCTGAAATCTCACTATATTTTATGAAACACCTTAACTTTGCTTAGAATCCCCCATTTACTAACATAATCATATAATCAAAAAGTCCATTAAATTGATAAGACAGCAGGATCCACTCATGAATTCATACCAGATGTTAATCATACATTAATAAACTTAAGATGGTTGTCTTGTGCTTTCAAGCAATTTTACTTTACTGTTAAGTTAATGATTTTAGTATTCCCGGAATCAAGTTTATTTCTTACATTAACTATCTTCAAATTCTTACACAAGTCCACATTTCCTGCAAATTCTACTCAATTACATTTTTAATGATTTTGCTTGTGACAGTGCACAACAACTCTGTCACAAGCAAAATCATTAAAAATGTAATTGAGTAGAATTTGCAGGAAATGTCATCCCAGATACTGAAATAATTTGTGACTTTCAGCTAGGGTCAGCTGGTTTCAAGTTATCAGACACCAAGTTTCATGTTGTTTCTGGTACTTATCAGGTAATAAAAAGTAAAAGTATGATTGCAACTTTTAGCAAGCATTCCTTGTTCTTTGAATGTACTTTACCCTCCACATACTTGAGGATAAGCCAATTATCCACGAGTAGGAAATCATTGGGACAGTGTACCCTCTAGAGCTTTACGCTCCCTACTTTACAAAATAATTCTGATACTAAAGAAAGCTTCTTGAATAAGTAATAATGGATGCATAACAAGTTATATATGAGGGAGACAGTCTCTTCTTTCATTCCCTTGCTTTGTATGCACTTCTATAGACGGGAAAAATAACATAAAATGGGATCCGAAATTTACAAAGTGTGAGATCAAATGTGTCTCATGAGACTTTGAAAATATTTCTTAAAGCAAGAGGTCCTCTAATTTCTATTGTTGGATAATGAACCTTATTCAAATGTATATAGAATAATAGAGGAAGAAAATAAGTTTTTAAACATGTTACACAAGCTTCATCTCTCTTAGAGAACTATCAGTATTTGAGATTTAACTTTTTTTTAAAAAAAAGTCCTTTTACTTGATGTTTTTCTCAGCCAGAGAGTGCCATTCATGAAGGGAAATATAGAAATGGTCACAGTTCTAAAGGCAGGAGAGTGTGCATTTCATCAAATGTTCCCCTAGAGTGAGGAGAGTTCGCTACCATTCAAAATCAGTCTAAGCGTCACATATTCTGTTTTGCAACATTGGGTCAGGATCACAACCTACAGAGGCAGAAAGCAAAGCTAATTCTTTTTGTTTGATCTATAAATCAATTTTAAACACATGATACATTTTACTTGTTTTCTGGCTCTTGGATAAAGGGAGACAGTATCTTCTTTCATTCTTCATTCTCTTCTTTTGCAGGCACTTTGTATCTGACCCAAAATCTCAGCCACCTACCCATGCTACGTTAACCTTAGAACAAACAAGGATAGATCTGTTGGAAGAAAAACATCGGAGACATTCAGAATCAATTAAAGTATTATGCAAGTTTGACTTCAGGCTTTCGTACAAGATTCAGAACATATGGCTAATGAGTAAAATGCAGACAAGTTTCAAATACTTTTGCTTGGTAC